AAACCTTAGGAGTGAGTACATGTGTAAGGGAGGGCGTGAAAAATGTTCCAGAAAGAGGGAACAGCATATAGAACTAAAGTACAGCAACAGTAGGGGGAAAACGATACAAGTTAAGGCTTAGAGACCCAAGCAGGCCTCAGCCCATGTAGGCACCTGACCAATTATCTAAAAATTTGGTCCCTATCCTAAGAGCAATGGGAAGATACTGAAGGGTTCTGCGTGGAGGATGACATAATCAGATAGAGTTTGAAAAGATAATTTGATGCAGTGTAGAGAATGGATGGTAAGGGGCATGAGTGGGTGAGGGGAATACCATTTACAGGGCTTTTATAGCACTCTGGATGAGAGATGATTGTAGGTTGGGCTAGGGAGGTGGCAGTGAATGTGAAAAAAAGTGGTTTGATTTGAGAGACATTTAGGAGGTATAGGGTCAAAGGATTATATTTAGGGCTTGAGGAAGATAGGAGGTATAAAGATGACACTAAGAAGGATTACAAGAGTGAGGATATCTTACTTTGGACATAGAGAAACACATCAACTTCCCTTTAATTCTGCTTACCCTCTCCTGTCCTTTCTTCTGTGGATCCAGGGTCCAGCTACCAGACTCAAAATCTCTGAATTATCTAAGTCTTCCTTTTGGCCTTACACCCAATCTTGCCCACTCACCCCTACCCTACTCACCCCTTATCAAGATCAATATTGCTACAAGTATTGTCTCAGAGGGGCCTCTGGAGAGACTACAAAATGATCCAAAAATGCAAATCTTTTCTTTGGCTCTTACAGGCAAATGATGCAAAATTCTAACTTCTTTTCTTTCTTTCTTTCTTTTTTTATGGTAACTGAGTTATAAAGGAGTACTAAAATTTGTTAGTCATAAACTAAATTTAGCTTTTAACTGGAGTTCGCAGAAGACTCTAATTCAGTTCTCTACTAAGTCTGGCTGCCAGGCAATATTTGGCAATGTTGCAAAGCTCCTCCTGCACATATACTCATGCAGCCAGTTAGAATTCTTGCAATTTTCAGGAAGGACACTGCTATTGGGGCATTACCATTGATGTTTTGGTCATGGTTTATGGTGCTTGACATTTATGCATTTTAATGACAAATTATGATTTCTGGAGCTCCATCATGATCAATTTAATATGCCATGGCTTATTGATTAACCCTCTGGGGTAGAGGGATGCACCTCTCTGACTTTATTTCTTGCCACTTCCCTTGCCCCCTTCCTTGCTTATCCAGAACATGTGTTGCAAGTTCCCATCTCAGGTACTTTACACTTGCTTTTCCCTTTATCTGGAATGCTTTCCCCCCAGATATCACATAACTAACTCTTTCATTTACTGTAGGTCTTTCTCAAATGTCACTTCTGTGAGGCCTTCCCTCACCACTATGTCTAAATCATAATCTTCTGAGTCCCTGAACTTCCTAGTCCAGTTCCCTGTTTTGTTTTTCTTCTTGACACCTACCACACCATCTGATAAACTACCTTGTATAATGTGCACTTTTTGCCCAAATTTGTGAGGGAAAAATAAGGATGTGCATTATACGTGGGTAGTATTAATTCTGTATGTATATAAATGTTTTTAATTCTTTTATTTATGCTTATGAGTTAAAAGTGTAACTCTAGAAATCAATAATGATATCTGTATGCAAATTAATACCCTGGAATACAATAATCAGTTTTGCTGAACTTACAACAAACTTGCAACAACGAACTTGCAATGCTGCCAAAGAGTTCTTGGCCTTCTGTGATGCGTAAATATCGTAAATTTTTTACCAGTACATAAAATTTCTTGTACCTTGTATCTGATCTTGTGTTTTGTAATTATTTGTTACATAAAATTTCTTGTACCATAATATGTTAAAAAATAAATGCTAAAATTCCTTTATAATACAAAAAAACAAGTACCTAAATGTAAACAAATAGAAATTTGAATTAAAAAATTAAAATGAAAGATTTTTTTCCTTCAAAGTTTGGGCCAAAAATGTGGGTGCGCATTATACACAGCAAAATACAGTATATATTTTACTGATTTGTTTGACAATTTACCTCCAACTAAAAGTTAAGCTCTGTGAGAGCAGGGTTTTAATTTCTTTTGTTTGTTGCTCTATCACTAATACCTAGAACAGCACTTTGTACATAGTAGGTGCCCAACAAGTGATTGTTAAATGAGAATGGCTATTTATCATCAGAATTTTTTACCTCTTTATCTCCAACACCCAGCTTTTAAGGCATGGGTATATATGGTTCAAATGTGAATCATTCATAGCCCTCTTGCCAAAGCAGATATTAACAACCTGGAAAAACATGCTTCTACTGTGACATTTCCTCGTTATCCCTCCCCATTTGTCTCCCCATCCCAGAGATATCCCTTCCTATACTTCAAATATACTCAGAGCAAAAATTCTAAAGAACAGATCAAGGCATTCAGCATTATATTCAACTCATTTTCAGAATTTAATATATTCCAGGCACTGTGTTAGGTTTGGGGGAATCAACAGTGTACAAGAAAGACATGATCCTTGCCATCAAAGCATTAGTCTAATGGGGTTACTACCCAATCCTGTCTCCTGAAAGGGTACTTAATCCCTTGCAGGAGAATATGGAGACCAAGCTGAAGCTTATTGTATGAACAGGAGATGGAGACATTTGGGGCAGGGTGGCACGGAGCAGGTTGCAACAGACAGAAAAGACTGTGTCAGGCAAGCAGAGGAAACAGCAGTTTCAAAGGCCTAGAGGAGAAAAAAAAGTGTGGACGTCACTTTCCAGGAAGTGAGGGCAGTTCAGTGTGCTGTAGCTGTGGAATTTTCAGAGCAATCAATGGTGAGATCTGAAGTAGGGTGGGTAGCAAAGGCTAGACCTTGCAAAGCCTTGCAGGCCATAAAAGCAAGTTGGACTTTTGGGACTTTATGCTAAGAGCAAGAGAGCCAGTGAAAGGTCTAATCAGTGGAGTGACAGGAACAAGGGAGTTTCAACTCCTCTCTGTTCCCTAACCCAACTCTGACCTTCTCTCTCCATTGCAGGCATCCACGTCATCATAGCTGCCTCCTCCCTGAAGCTTTTCTGCTGCTTCAACCTGCATGTCTCCCTCTCAGCTCCAGGGATCCCATCCTCCCTTATCTTTGTTTGCCTAGGCTCTATCTCTCCCCATTGGACTGAGTTCCCAGAGGACAGGGACAACTTCTCAAACCTCTCTAGGTTGTCCCACACTCAGCTCAACACTGACCCAGATTGGGCTTCATTGAGACAAGAGAGTGATGAATACAACCTAGCACAACCCAGCCTTTTCTCACACCCCACACATTAATATTTACTCTGTATTAAAAGAACCCTTCCCTGGGGGCAGGGGGCAGCACTGGTGTGTGCAGGGCCAGTGATCCAGGTTTCTCTGCTTCCTGTTTGCTGCCACCCCTCTCTGCTCTCAGTGTAATTAGCCTCCAATGTCTCTCCTAATGGGCTGGAAAAACTGATCCCTAAGCTTGTTCAAACTGCAAGCTGCTAGAAAAGACAAATCTAATCTATAGTGACAGAAAGCAGATTAGTGGTTACCTGGCGCTGGGGGGTTGGGGAGAACTGACTGGGATGAGGAATGGAGGAATTTTTCCGGGTAGAGGAAATGTCTTATATCTTGATTGTGGTGGTGGTTCACAAATGTATAGTAAATTTGTCAAAACTTGTCAACGTGTACAACTAAAACAGTCCATTTCATTGCATGTAAAGCAGACCTCAGTAATGCTGAATTTAAAACAAAGTGCATGTAAATTAAGAATCAGTAGGCCCAAGCACAGTACATAAGCTTCAAAACACAGATCAACCCCAACATAAAACTAGGGCATGGCCATATGGGAAAAGCAACCTCCTCATGGTTGCAGAGATCTAAGAAAGATGGGTCCACCTGCTATGGAAGGCCAGGTGAAAGAAGCAAAGGAACAAAGGCTAATATGGAGGAGACCAGACCAAAATATGTAAAGTCACAACCAGCATGGACACAGATTCACTCTCCAGATGTCAAAATACCTAGGTCTGAGTGAGGAAAATTTGGAGTAAATAAATAGAAGTCCTGCCTCCCAGAGCCAGAATCTGCATGTTAGTCCCAGGGTGATAATTCATAAAAGGTTTGGAAAAAGTGACTCTTGAAGGACTAAGTGGCTACATCACAGAGGGCTCCACGAGAAACTGGGCCTTACCTCACCTTTCAGGGTGACGCTGAGGAGGGAAGAAGCACTCTGTGCTGGGCGGGTAAAGGGGAGTGACTCTTGGGTTTCCTGTGAGGAGGGATGACACCTGGCTAGGTGGCACCAAAGAACACAATGTTCACATGGCTGATGGAGTGGACCAGGGCCTCACAAGGAAGAGAGACATATGAGGCTCCAGAAATAGTTGGAGGACAGTGTTTGGGGTGTGCAGCGTGTGAAGGGGGTCAGGGATGGGAAAGGGATCTCTTTCCTCTTCATTTTTACCTGAATTCTCTCTCCTTACAAGTCTCCCAGCACAGAAAAATCTAAACCAAACTCTGGCACATAATCTGTCCCATCTCCTGTATAGTTAGTTCTCTCTCCCTCTGTGGGCTCCCAAAGGCCTGTGTCCCCACTTAGCCCAGCACTGGGCACACAGCAAAGGGCTGGAAAAATAATTTCTTTGGGTCAAGAATGTGAGGGCAATAAGGAACAAATTGGTGGGAGTGGGGGGTGGATTAAGGAGGATGGGCTAGTCAGAATGGGTCTGTGGAGTTAGGGAATGGAATGGTGAGAGGAGGAAAAGTGTAAAAGAAGTAGGAAAGAGTGGCTGAGGGGCAGTGTGGGAGAGAAGGCTAGGATTAGTGGGAGAGAGCAGGATAGGGTCAGAGGTCAGTGGGAACACAGGCCAGGGGTCACAGGAGAGAGGCTAGTGGTCAACAGGGAAAGGAAGACGAAAGATCAGTAGGAGAGGTATGATCAGTGGTCATTGGCGGCGAAGGTCAGAGTTCATCGGGAGAAGGACAGGTTGGAGTGTGTGTTACCTGCCTACGAGGCTGCTGTTTCGGGGCCATCTTCAAAGAAGCAGGAAACACCTCAACACTTGGAGCGTCTCCCTCGCCTGAAGACAAGAAGTTTGTCCGTCCCCTCGATCACACACAGAAAATCTGGATTCTCTTTCACTTCAATTCCCAATCTCAGGGGTTCTTTGGGGACAACCGTCGTTGTGGATCCCCGCGCCTTTGCTGGACGGAATCGGCTCCTCCCTGACGCGGTTACCCAGCAACCAGCCGACAGCTAAGGCGCAGGCGCCTCTGACTTCCCCTCCCGGCTTGAGTGGGAAGCGAGGATGGGCGTGCTGGGAACCTCGGGCTCCACTAAGTCCCGCCCCCTCAGGGATAACACCACTCGCGGCCTCGCGCTTTTGGAACTCCTGCATGTGGGAGGGGCTGGGGCCTCCAGACACCGCCTCCTCATGAATAATGCAGATTCAGGCGGTGTCCCGGACCCGGAAGTGGAGTTGCCGAGTCACCGCAGTGGCTGAGCTGCTGACAGGAGGCGGCGGCGGAGGAGGAGGCGAGGCCAGACCTGCGGCTCTGCCCCGCCACAGCCGCGGTAGCGCTAGGCAAGCCCACGGAACCACGCCGGCCTCAGCCCGCCAGCAAACCTCCCGCCCGCACCCACCGGTCCATCTGATCCGCGGCCTGCCCGCCCGACTCGTCTGGGGCGGCCTAGTCTGCACCACCCACCCGGCTCCTGGGGCCGCCGCCCGGCGCGGTCCTGTTGGCTTTCCTGGCCGCGCCCGGCCCCGGGCCCACTCGCTTGCCGGCACCATGATGGAGGAGATCGACCGGTTCCAGGTGCCCACCGCGCACTCGGAGATGCAGCCGCTGGTGAGGGGGCGGGCGGCGGGCAGGCCAGGGCTGGGAGGGGGCGCCGCCTGAAGGAGAGGGAGGGAATCAGGCCTTGGGGACTGTGAGGAGGGGGCGCCTTCGTATGGGGCCAAGAGAGCCTTAAGAATGCATCGTGGAGGAGGGGGACCTGCAGGACAAGAAAACCGTGGGAGAATACGCGGGATGACAGCAAAGGGGCCTGTAAGGGCAGAGGGCACCTTCTGAGGAGTCAGGCGGAGGGAGCTACCGGGAGCGCGGTCGGATGGAACCGAACGAGGCACAATGGTGTATGTACACCATTAACGGAGGCCCATAGCTGGGGAAGGAAGGGAACTGTCATGGGGCACCATAGGCGGCAGGCCCAGTGGATTGACATGAGAGGAGGGGAGGCGTTTAGCTCTGGAGGCCTATGATGCTCAGGGCGGGGGAGGGGGCCTGAGAGCAGTCAGACTAAAAGGGACTGGGAATAGGCTTGTCGAGGAGGAGGGGCCTGCCCGCCAGTTTGCTGGAATTGGAACGCGGGGGCAGGGACCAGGAGGGGCAAAGGGTGGGTGCTGGACCCCAGAATTCCGTTCTTCTGGGGGAGGAGAGCGCAGGTAATCCAAGCTACCTGGGGAGGAGAGCGCGCAGCGGCGAAATGGAGAATCAGGGGCGCGGATGAACCGACGGGAGAGGGGGCGGGGCCGCGCTCGAGCCGCCTGTGCCCACGTTTGGAAGAGCCCCCAGCATCCTAGGCCTACGTGCTTGGAGTCCTTGCTGGGCGTCAATCCTACCGCCAGTCCGCGGTCCCAGAGTCAGGGAGGAATGATGTCATCGCTGCCGGCGCGGAGGCGATGGAAGGGGGAGGGCGACGCGGGCGAACAGAGGCCAAGCCTAGGGCAGACTATGCCCGCTGGTCACCACTCCGGGGGCTACCTGACTGGCTGGTGCGCCCAACGGTGGGGCAGGAGACGCCGAGGCCTAGCCAGCCGGTATAGGGAGAGGGGGGAGTGAGGAAGTGTCCCGGCTCAGTTCGTTTTTCCTTCTCCTTTCCCCCTTGGAGCCCTAGGGGAAGCTGGAAGGAGGCAGGGCGGGCCAGGAACCTTAAAGGTGTGGATGCTCTGTTCTCTGAGCTCTGCTGGAGCCAGTCAGAGCTCTCCAAATCTGGAAGATCTCAGGCTTCCTAAGCCTCCACCCTCTGTGTTAGGCGGGGAGGTTGAGGAACCGGTTCTACTCTTGGGCTCCAAGGTCCCTGGTTGACCGATGTGCCTTAGTGGGTTTTTGAGCAAGTAACCTGCCCATTACAGCAGCCAAGACTGACCTTGGCAGGGACCCATGACCAATTCTAAGTCACACCTTTTGGGGGATGGTAGAGAGAAGCATTAGAGGCCACCTAGCAGAAGAGAAAAGGCTTTTCCCCCCTTTTGTGACTACTTAGTTCTAAAAGCAAAAAAAAACAGAAAAGTGTTACAGAAGTGTATAATATTAAACAGGGGAAAGAGATGCTAGCCTGATGCCATCATTGGATTATTTGGAGGACCAGAAAAGTTGGTTCCATAAACTTGAAGAAGAATTTTGGGCTGGGTTTAGAAGACTTTCCTCTCTGGAGTATCTTTCCAGCCAACCTAGCTTGTCAAATTAGATTGCTCTTCCAGTTCTAAGCATCTAATCAATAGCCAAAAGGGAGGGTGGATGGAGGAGGAGGTCCAAATGAGTCATGGGAAGAAAGTGATGAGTTGGCTCTTGCCTCCCTTCTGGGGGTTCCTAAAAAGGGAGTCAATAGCTGTCCAGGGAAAGGGAGGAAGAAATGGAGTCACCAGGCTCTCTCAGTTGTCCCTGGTGCCTCAGTCATTGCCTGAAGTTCTCAATGATGGTTTTAGTGCATCTGCCTCAGAAAACTCCTGAGCTACATCTGGCCTATGTGGCTCTGGGTAGAAGTGCAAGAAGACATTTATCAGAAAAGCTGTGATTGCCTTCAGACCCTTTTCTTGAAGGCTAAAGGATACCTTCTCTGCTAGAGCCTGCTTTGTTGAGGTTGAATGAAAGCCTTATGGAAGTAGCAATATAGTCATCCCCCATTTGGGGGTCACAGGTATTGCCCTGCAGATCCCTGCCTCTTGACCCCTGTTCCCAGGTTGAACTCTAGAGGATCCCCAGAACACCTTAAATGCTCTGTGTATTACTGAGGCCAGAGTCTTGTGTGGAGTTTCCGCAAGAGCCTTTATTTCAGGGCATAAGGAATCAAGATGGTATACTGCAGACGAGAAAAGCAGAAGAAAAAATAGGGATATTTGGATAGACTATAAAAACTAAGATCCCAGGCTTGGACTCAGCTGTGACTTATTTCATTTCTTGCCATTATTTATTGAGACCTCGAGGAAGTCCCTACTCTTCTCTGGACTTAGTTTTTCCATTTATTTATTTATTTATTTATTTTTTTTTTTTAAGGATTTTTTTTTAATTGGGGAATTGGGGGGATGGGAACAGTGCTGGGGAATTGAGGGAAGGGGAACAGACAAGTTGCTGTCATTTTCGTTCTTCAGTCTGGTTGTGGAGGACTTCGCTTCACTGGCCCAAGTTGGCACCATCATTGCGCTCTTCCCGGGTGAGGCAGATCAGTTACCGGCTTCTGGACGGCCACTCACTGTGGCTGCCGGCTGTTCACGCTGGCTGCTGGCTACACACGGTAGCCCATGGCAACCCACTGCAGCAGGGGCTGCAGCCTATGCCGTCGCCGGCAACTCACGGCAGCCCAGCTCCAGGTTGAGCTGTTGTTCAGCATCTTAGCTGTAGAGGGCAGTGTCACTGGCCCTCATATGTGGGATCCGAACCGGAGCCCTCTGGCGTCCCAAGCCAGTTCTTAACCATCGTGCCACTCGGCCGGCCCAGTTTTTCCATTTATGATATGAAGACAAACTATCTCTCTCTTTTTTTTTTTCTTAAGATTTTATTGGGGAATCGGGGGAGAGGAACAGCTTTGGGGAATCGGGGAAGGGGAACAGACAAGTTGCTGCCCTTTTGTTCTTCAGTCTAGTTGTGAAGGACGTCGCTTCACTGGCCCATGTTGGTATTATTATCATTGTGCTCTTCCTGGGTGAGGCAGATCGGTTGCCAGTCACTGGACGGCTGCTCACGGCGGCTCTTGGCAGCTCACACCGGCTGCCAGCCGCTCACGGTAGCTTACGGGAGCCCACTGCAGCTCCACTGCAGCCTACACCATCGTCGGCAACTCACAGCAGCCCAGCTCCAGGTCGAGCTGTTGTTCACCATCTTAGCTGTAGAGGGCACAGCATCACTGGCCCTCATGTGGGATCTGAACCGGGGCCCTGCTGCTCAGAGCTGGCATCCCAAGCCAACTCTTAATCAACATGCCACTCAACTGCCCCCAAACTACCTCTTTAAAGCAATAGCTGCTCATGCTATTATAGGGGCCTGATATCATTGATTCAACAAATTCATTCACTAAATATTTATTGAGCATGCTCTGTTCTAGATACTATACTAGGAGCCAGGGACACAGCGGTTAGCAACATAGACACAGATATGGCCCTGCCCTCCTGAAAGTCACAGTTCCACAGAAGTTTATTGTTCTTGCTCACTCCCCCAGTATGAGCCCCTTTGAGGGTAGAGTGGAGGCTGTCTCCTTAAACCCTAAAGGAAACAAGGCAATGCTGGTGCCAGCATCATTGCCCCTTTCTGGACTAAGCTGTACTCATACAGGCTTGTTACATGGGCTCCATCATCAAATAACCCTCGCCTACTCATAGTAATGGGAAAAATCCAGAGGTCATTCATTACTTGGAAAGATGAGCTCTAGGGGGAAAGCATCTTTATTTTTTTATTATTTACTTGAAAGAGAAACTCAAGCTTAAAAAAGAGGCCTAGAGGAGTGGCAGAAGCTGGAAGAGAAGGCAAAGCTAGCAGATCCGGGTGTTTCCAAGGTGCTAATTTAAGCATTAGTTCTCAGCTTAGTGACAGGAAGAGGAAGAGATCCCTGCCCTGTTGTTGCTGCTGCTGTTGCAGCTGCATGGAGCCATCTGTCTGAGGTGGGAGTTGGCCTGAGGGCGTGGCTCCCTCTTTTCCCCATCACACCAATTACTTAATTGGACTGGCTGCATCTCAGCAGCTGAACCAGGCCTGGGCCTATCCCTGAGAGCTCCCCAGGGTCTCTTTCTGTCTTCTTATGAAAGGACTGAGAGCGCCTCTTGGAGACCTGGTCCCCGGGCTCCACTCCTGCTGTATGTATCTTCTAGATAATCCTGAATGTTTCTGAGCACAGATCTTCCCAAAGAAACTGTCAGGGATAGGCATACCTTGTATGTCAGTTCTGTGTCCAAGCCACACACCTCACTGATCTAGGGAAGCACCCAGCTGTCCAAGGCTCTCTGTTGAGCAATTGGGTTGGATTTGGGCTATTGTTTGTGTGAGTAGCAGGGGTAGGCTCTCTGGCTCTATTGTCTGCTGGACTGGTTGGTGCAGGCTCACAGTCTATGTCTTCTCTTTGGCTGCAGTTAGAGAGGAAGAGATTGGTTACAAAAAAAGAAAGAAAAAGAAAAGGAAAGAAAGGGAGCTTTTAAGCACTTAATTATGTCAGGCAAAACCTCTCTGTGTTTTCAGAGACCAAAGAGACCAAAAAATGCCATATGGCATTAGACAAGGTCTCTGTACACTTGAGAGAAATGCTAGTCTAGCCTCCCTGAAACCCTTGTTATCTGTTAATTCATTTGTTTAGTTCATGAGCATATGCTTAGTTCCAGAAACTTTAAGGATAGAGACAAAGTGAGATCTCTCCAGTGGGTGACCAGGAGAAGGAAGGGCTCAAAAGGCTACAGGAAAGTTGTAGATACATGTCAGTAAAGAGTGGAGATCAGTGGAGGATGCTCCTGAGAAAGGGTGACACCTCCCTTGGGAAAAAAATGAGAAATTGCTGAGGTTTTGACCCTTTGACCATGTGAGCTTGGAAAGGAGTTTCAGACTGCTCCTGCCTCTTGACACTCAGGCATGGGGGTGGTCAGGACATT